CTTTGTCTAACTCTAAGCATTATTTTCGATTTGCCTTCGATATAGTCCTTATGGCAGAATCGCTGGAGAACCTAAGCACTATGCTCAATGACCTCAATAGTGTTTCCCAACGGATAGGTCTTAAGATGAACATGGACAAAACAAAGATCATGTTTAATGTCCATGTCACACCTATGCCGGTAGTTGTTGGGAGCACTAAGCTCGAAGTTGTTGACGAGTATGTTTACCTGGGACAAATAGTCCGACTAGGTAAGTCCAACTTCGACCGAGAGGTCAATCGACGGATTCAACTCGGCTGTGCAGCGTTCGGGAAGCTACGACACATCTTCTCGTCAGACATACCTCAACGAAATTGTACAACCAGTGCGTGTTGTCAGTGACGACTTACGGAACTGAGACGTGGTCCTTCACTGCTGGCCGTATGAGGAAGCTCAAGGTCGCTCAGCGAGCTATGGAGAGGGCTATTCTCGGAGTTTCTCTGCGTGATAAACTTAGGAATGAGGATATCCGCAGTAGAACCAGAGTAACCGACATAGCCCAACGGATTAGTAAACTGAAGTGGCAGTGGACCGGCCATATAACTCGAAGAATCGACAACCGATGGGGAAGAAAGATTCTCGAGTGGCAGCCTCGTACCGGTAGGCGAAGTGTAGGGCGTCCCCCCACGACCTGGTTAGACATGCAGGAAGTCGATGGATGCAGGTGGCTCAGGATCGTGCTTTGTGGCATTCTTTGGGGGAGGCCTAATTTCAGCAGTGGACTTGTGAAGGGCTGTAATGATAATAATGAAGCATTATTTTCGTTGTTTTAGTTAAATACATACCTACATGATGTTGCAAAATTCACGCGCCGCAAAAATACTTCGGAATATTCCGCCCGAAAAACTGAGCATCGAACCAGGATGCTACGTGGTACAGTGTGACAATTCAATAGTGTTGGAAGATCAGCCGCAGCTCATGATTAGAAATGATGGATCTCATCAAGGATCCACAAACAGAGATTCTGCAAGTAGCATTCCTGTTGTATTAGATTCAGATCTACAGTCATCAATAATTGAATGTGTTACTCTGAATCCCATAGAAACGGTTGAACCTGTAGTGGTACAGTGTGACAGTTCAATTGTGTTGGAAGATCAGCCGCAGCTCATGATTAGAAATGATGGATCTCATCAAGGATCCACAAACAGAGATTCTGCAAGTAGCATTCCTGTTGTATTAGATTCAGATCTACAGTCATCAATAACTGAATGTGTTACTCTGAATCCCATAGAAACGGTTGAACCTGTAGATATTTCTACGCCAAGGTTATCAGAAGAACACACTAAACCAGAATGCTCCGTGGTACTAACAGATAATTATAAAGTATTGAGGGACTGCCCCTTTAACATCTTAATTAATAATGATAGATCTATCTGCCGAAGATCCACGAGCCAAGATTCTTTAAAAAGCATCAGCTCTGTTCCATTAGAGTCATCAGAAACACTTGAGCAGGCTATCACTACCTCGTCACCGCCTCCAAGAAAAAGACAAAAGGAAAGTGAACCCCACCAATGGGACGCAAATAAAAACAAGGAACAAAGAGAAAAAGGTAAGGCTTATTTAGGAATGAAGAAGAGATGAAATAAATGGGACTTTATTGAACCTAAGCCCGCGAGAGAGATGAAAAGTTGATGCAAATGCAAATTAAGCTTGAAAGGGGATACCAAGATGCACTGTGATAAAATACCAGAAGAAGAAAGACAAACAATGTTTGAGAAGTTTTGGAAAATGAGTTGGAAGGAAAAGAAGGTGTTTGTTAAAATGTCTTCGATTTCTAAGAAAAAAGAAAGAGAGAGGTGTGCTGGTACATCATCTAGGCGGAAAAACTCTGTAGAGTTATATTTAACTGATAGCACGGGGATTCGATTTCGGGTCTGCAAAACCATGTTCCTTAACAGTTTAGGTGTTGGGGAATGGGTGATAAAGAAGTGGATTATTAATGAAGATGATCCCAAAGACGCACCGAAAAATAATACCAAAGTGGAAGCTAAAAACCAGTTACGCAAGTTTTTTGATTCCATGCCAAAACTTGAATCACACTACTGCCGAAAAGACTCATCAAAGTTGTATCTTGAACCAATCTGGACAACAAAATCTCAGCTCTATGAAACTTACAGAAAAAACTTCTGTGTCAGAGAGAACCTTGAGCCATTAAGCATTACCACCATTTTCAACATGTTTGAAGCACTCAATTTGTCTTTATTTAGCCCAAAAAAGGACTTGTGTGATATTTGTGAGTCTTACAAAGCTGGTAATGTTTCAGATATTGACTATAAGACTCATCGTGATAAGAAAGACGAGGCTCGAAAAGAACTCGCTAAGGACATTTCCATGGAACACGAAGTCCTTACCATGTATTTACAATCGGTGCTTTTAAGCCCACGTTCGAATGTTTCGGCACTCTACTATAAGACCAAACTCATTGTGCATAATTTGACACTTTACGATTGTAAAAGAAATTTGGGCTACTGTTATATTTGGAACGAATGCGAAGGAAAACTGACGAGCAATGAATTTTCGACTATAATCGTGACAGCTCTCGAAAAGTTCAGGACACAAAACACAACGCAACATAACAAGGAAATAATTATCTACAGTGACGGTTGTACCTACCAGAACCGAAATGTGGTACTATCGAATGCTCTGCTGAATTACAGCATGGAAAAGAAAGTAACCATCAAACAGAAGTACCTCGAAAAAGGGCATACGCATATGGAGTGCGATAGTATGCACTCGGTCATAAAAAGAGCGTTAAAAAATAAAAAGATAAATATTCCGGCCGACTATGTTTACATACTGCTTGCAAGAAAAATCCCTATGACGTACAGTATCTCTATCACCACTTCTTTAAAGATGTTGAACATACTTTGAAGTTCTACAAATCAATCAGACCTGGAAAAAGAACAGGTGACCCTACAGTCACAAACATAAGGGCTCTCAAGTACACTCCAGATGGAAGAATTGAGTTCAAGTTGAGACATTCAGCTACTGATTGGGAAGGGCTCCCAACAAGAACTAAAACAATCAGTTTCATTCCATGGGATACTGTTCCTCAGCTTTATTCGGCAAGGCTGAAGATTAAAAAAGAGAAGTATCAGGATCTTCAGAACCTCAAGCATACCATGGAGAAAGATTATCATAACTTTTATGATAACCTACCACATACCTAACTAGTTAAACTAATGATGTGGTAGGTAGGTACCTACTAAGATTATAAAAGCTATGATAACCTACCCACTTAAGGTACACTAAGGCCTTCCTACATTTATCTGATTAGTACCAAGTATTGTTTAATGTACCTAGTTTTATTTACTTTACCCATTCCAAAGAGTGAACAATTATTATTAAAAGTAATTTTATTTTTAAGACATTAGAGACTGATGAAAGTTATTGATTTTTATGTTACAAGAGTTTTTTTTAATAGAAGTTCCTATTATGTTATTTGATTAATAAAAAACAAAGGTGATTCTAAGAGAGCATTATTTTTTCGTTAATCCCCCCTATATAAAAATGAAATAATAAAACTGCGTAAGTCATCTGCATTGTATAAAAACTGATAAAAATGTAAACGTAAAACTGCGTATATCCTAGAAAAAGTCGTAAGTCCAACTTGAATAAAAATTAAAACTCGTAAGTCCATTATTTTATAAACTACCTGCAAAATCAATAATATTCTTAGTAAAAAATGAATCTACACTCATTTTGAACTCAAAGTAACAGCGACTTTATAAAAATATCTTAATATAAAAACAAAAAACGGTTTTTCGTCGCTCCTGTAAAATGATCTCATTCGGACTTACGAATTTTGATAATTAGGTCGACGATATGTGAACAGAGGCAAACTTTATATTCCTTCGGTAGCAGCTTACAAAATTGTGACTGCCTCGTTGGTCTAGTGGTTGTAGTAGTGCGACTGCTGATCATGAGGTTCCGGGTTCCAATCCCGGGTCGGGCCAAAAAAATCAGTTATTGAGTTTTTCTATCAAGAAATTCTCAGTAGCTGCCCGGAGTCAGGAAGTTGGCGGTATCTCACCCCCGTGCCTCGGAAAGCACGTTAAGCCGTTGGTCCTGCGCCTGATCTCTCTCCGGTCGTGTCGGTTTACCGTCCCATCGGCCTATGAGAGTGAGGGAATAGAGAGTGCACATGTGCTTGCACATACACGTGGGCACTATAATCCTGTCCTGCGCAGATGGCTGGTCTCCGTTGAGACTGGCCGCCGTGACCGAAATTCGGTCTGGAGGACATTATTATATTATTATTATTACCAAATTGTAAATTATTGTGACCAAGTTTTCCAACGAGCTAATATGATGTGACAACTTAGAGCCAATAACATTGAAAGCAAATTAATTAATGTCGTATCACAACATTTTACTCCTCTGTTGTAGGAAATTAACCTTCCGATCACGGAATCAACTAATTGCAATGATTTGCATGAAACTATGATAGTTAAGAAAATAGTTAATTCATTTTTTAATATGTATATACGTGCTCACTTAAGAGTCATACAGAAAATAAACTCAGTAATTTACTTGGTAAGAGACAGAAACCACACAGAGCAATGATAATTAGTCATGTATAACAGCTAAATTGTTTGGAAGAATCTCTCGAAAGGTACCGCTTCTTAGCAAACAACGCCGAGAGAAGCGATTATTCGCTAAAATATGTTAATTAGACGGTACAAGAATGGAAAAAAGTGTTATTTTCAGATGAAACAAAAATAAATATGTTAAATGCCGATGGAAAGCGCTATGTTAGACGTCCAATAAACCGTACACAATGATTTTAATTATAAATACACAAGAAGTATAGTCAAGCATGGTGGCGCTAACATTAAAGTTTGGGGGTGTTTTTCCGGATGTGAAGTTGGATCCGTTCGGGAGATTGAAGGTACAATGGGATCAATGGCAATACAAAAATATCTTAGAGCACACAATGATTAGGGAATCTTGGACGATCATTTGCCTGTAACCTGGATCTTTCAGCATGACAATGACCCTAAACACATGGCCAATAGCGTCAAATATTTCCTTAGCGAACAGCGTATATCCGTTTTAAACTGGCCAACAAATAGTCTGGATTTAAACCCGATAGAAAATCTCTGGTATATTGTTAAAAAGAAAGTCTCGAACAAACGTAACACCAGTCAAAACGAACTATATGAAGCATTTATTGAAGCATGGAATTCAATCCCCCTAGAAAAATGTATGAAATTGATTGAATCAATGCCACGTCGTTGCAGTGCTGTTATTGAAAATAAGGGATACGCCACTAAATATTAATGATAACTATTGGTAGGCTGTGGAGTAGCTATTTCGTAAATAACAATACTAATTACTAATACTTTAAAAATATTGTTTTTATACTTTTTTGTTGTTGTTTCTAATTAGTTGACCATTATTGTTCATACCTTAAAACTGATCTAAATGTTTGTCCGTAATGTATTATTGAAACTGCACTTGTGTAATGGGATTTATATTGTTTTTCTAATAAATAATAAATCGTTGAACATATTGTTGTCCTATTTATTGTTTAACTTCAAAATAAAAACGATTGCGGTAAAGTATCTTACATAATGTCAAGGACCGTTGGTAGTGTTTCTAATTATACGACCACCACTGTATATACGGAATCACATCTAATAACATTACTGAAGTACTAAAGTAAGATTAATTTGTCATAATATATAACAATATTTTAAATATAATATTTTTATTATCGGTGGCCATGGGTCGTTCTAGAAGACATAAGCAGCATTTAAAACATAAAAAGCATTATTTGTCAAGTGATTCTGACAGTAGTAACTCCTCATCGACAAGGGAATCAGGCAGTGATGGCTATTCAAAGAAGAAACTAAAATATAATCAACGCAATAAGGATAATAAGAAGAAACATAATAGATGTAGGCGGACATACACTCGTGGTGGAGTGTATGTTTACCAAATATGATGTCCAATAATATAACTTCAACTACTGCTAGTAACACCCAAAATTCTGCACTAAATAATTCCATGAACAACTCATGGTTGCATAGTTTCACTGCCAATCTTAATGTTATACCAGAGTTTGATCCAAGTGACAGCTTACAAAATATTGAATCTTGAATTCATAGAGTCAATGAATGTGCCACAATATATTCATGGAATGACACACAGACCTGCCATTATGCATTACCAAAGTTAGTTGGTCTGGCAAAACGCTGGTACCAAGGTTTACCAACACTAATGTTTACATGTGAGCAGTAAAGTTAGCTTTTCTTTCAACTGAAAATTATGGAAATTTATTAACCAAGATGTTGCAGGCGCGATGTAGACTTGGACAACCATTGGATGTGTATTATTATGAGAAAATGTTACTAATTAACAGATGTCAATTAACTGGTGCTAATACGGTAGGATGTTTGCTGCATGGAATTGACGAAAAGTTTATACGAATGAGTGTTAATGCTTGTCACTTCACTGAACCAGAACAGCTTTTTGCCTACCTCAGAACACTTTCTCAGAACGATAGTGTTCGGCATATAAACCGTAGACCATTTTTAAATAAAGAAAGCAAATCAACCCCAATACGAAGTACTCTTGATGTTTCTAAGAATGATGAAGTTTTTTATAGTTATGGTGAAGTATACAAGAGGGGCATACAAGATCTCGATGTTTGAAGACTGCGAAAAGGTGTAATGTTTGTAGTAGGGTCGGACATTTAACTCGTGATTGCAGGAGAAGAATACTTGCCTTACCTGGCTTAAATGACAGTAACAAACCACTATTGCAAGAGGTATTGTAATCCTGTGCTGGTTAATACTAATCCGCATTTCTCAGGAGCCCTATATTTACCACGTTGTTATCATTATGTCGAAAATTGCCACTATATTGTCCTACCGGGACTGTATACTTTATACGTGGTAGAGCCATGTTGCAGCTATATTAGTAATATAGTTGTAGCACGAATGAGTCGGCTCGACCGGGGGAGGACCACGCTCTCACAGAATACCAGCGTAAAATGGCAGCTTAACACTGTTGTGTTTCGTATGGTGAGTGTAGAGATCCGGAGACCCTTCTTACTGCAACGAGGCATTCCATCTTAGTCTTCACGGATGACAACGCATCTGCGTTTTGATTCGCATACGAGGATAGCTGTAGATGTCTATGGGCCACAGCAACCACGTACCATCAGGTGGACTGTGTGCATGTTTGTCACCCTATCTTATAAAAAAATATAGTTTTAATGCCGGGCAAGGGTATGTAATTGTAACAAATACCATGAATGCACCCTTTCAGTTTGAAAAGGATAGCACCATAGCCAGAGGGTTAATTTTCAAACAAATTGATGAACCTTACGGGTGGATAATCCAGCTCAAATAGGCAAAAATAAACATAATCTTTTAGAAGCACTCAACATAGGAACGCAACTAAGTAGTGATGAATTGAGTAAATTACATAAATTGTTATTAGAGTACAGAGATTTTTCGGAATAAGTTAATACTGATCATGTAGAGCCGTGGTAGCTCAGATAGTTAGCGCTCGTTGTAAGCTTCACAGTACTCGAGCAACCCGGGTTCGATCCCCGCCGTCACCAATGAAATTGTTAATTGCAATTTTAAGTGCTGATTTACCACGTGCTCGGCGGTGAAGGAAAACATCGTGAGGAAATCTGCATGTCTGAGAAATTAATTCTCAGACATGCAGGTCCCTCGCAGAAATGAGAGGAGGCCTGTGCCTAGCAGTGGGACGTAAATAGGCTGCAACTTTACTTTACTTTACTTTTGTAGAGATGGTCACAACTGTTAGTGACGATATACCGATTGTTTACAATCCTATATTGCCGCACATAGAGGATAAGCTGGATGCTTTGGGTGGTAATAAAATATTTACCAGCTTAGACTTAGCATCCGGTTACTACCAGGTGCCTGTAGCTGAAAGATTGCGTCAACATCTAACAGCGTTCATCACTCCAGAATGATTATACGAATATGATCGCATGCCTTTTAGCTTAGTTAATGCGCCGAGCGCATTTCAATGAGTCATGAACACTATGATAAAAAAGTCCGGTAATAATAAAGTGCATGCATATATGGATGACCTATTAGTGCCTTCGAAGTCTGTTCAAGAAGGCTTGAAAGATCTTGAAGATGTTTTTAAGATGCTTCGGGATGTTAAACTTACATGAAACATTAAAAAAATGTGCGTTTTTCCATACTCAGGTGAATTATCTTGGATTTGAGATATCAGGGGATGGCATAAGATCAGGTCAACACAAAATTGATGCTGTGAAAAATTTCCCAGAGTCTAAAAACGTTCACGAAGTTTGTCAGTTCATTGGTTTGGCAAGTTATTTTAGAAAGTTCATAAGAAATTTCTCTATAATTGCTAGGCTTTTAACGGTCTTGACAAAGAAAAATTAACAATGGCGTTTTGAAAAGGAAAGAACTCAAAGAAATGCTGATTAGTCAGCCTGTTCTCACATTATATAATCCAAATGCTAAGTTACAGACGGCAGTAAGTGGGGAATCGGTGCTATCGGTACTTTTACAGAATGGTGGAAATGGTCTACAACCTATCGCGTATTATAGCCGTCGGACGTCTTTTTTTTTTATAGAATAGGGGGCAAACGAGCATGCGGCTCACCTGATGGTAAGTGACTACCGCCGCCCATGAACAACCGCAACACCAGGGGAATTGCAGATGCGTTGCCGGCCTTTTAGAAAGGTGTAAGCTCTTTTCTTGAAGGTTCCTAAGTCGTATCGGTTCGGAAAATTCGCTGGTGGTAATAGATTCCACAAAGAAGTTGTGCGAGGGAGAAAACTTCTTCTAAATCACACAGTGGTGGACCGCCAATCATCCAGATGGTATGGATGGTAACGCGAGTTTTGTCGCGACGTGCGATGGTGAAATTGAGCGGCTGGAATTAGTCCGAACAATTCCTCAGAGCACTCCCCGTGATAGATGCGATAAAATACGCAAAGAGATGCAACATCTCTACGCAGTGCCAGTGTATCGAGCCGATCGGAAAGAACTCGGTCGTCGACGATTCGAATCGCTCTGCGCTGGATGCGGTCAAGTGGAAGGAGCTGGCACTGGGGTGCCCCGGCCCAGAGATGAGAACAGTATTCCATGTGGGGCCGAACTTGCGCTTTGTAAAGTTGCAAGCGATGTGCCGGCATGAAATACTCTCTCGCTCTGCTGAGCACGCCAAGCTTTTTAGAGGTCAATTTGGCCTTCCCTTCCAAGTGACCACGAAACTGCACGCTATTCGATATGTCGACGCCAAGGATTCCGATACTGGCTGAGGCAGCAAGGGGAGTGCCTTGAAACTGAGGAGATACGACAAAGGGGTTCTTTTTAGCGGTAAACGCGCAAACTTGTGTCTTCTGGGGATTGAACTGGACTAGATTTAGTCGGCCCCAATCCGAGACTTTGTTAAGCAAAGACTCGACTTCAGACACAAGTTTGTCCCGGTACTCGGCGACGTTTTCCCGAGAAATATTGGTACGGCCGGTATATAAGGCATCCCCAGTGCTGTCGTCTGCATAGCAATGAATGCTACCAGTTAGCAACATATCATTGATATGCAGGAGAAACAGCGTTGGTGATAGCACGCAGCCTTGTGGAACACCAGCGTTGATAGGCTTGTAATCAGAGCATGCACCGTAGACGGTGCATGCTCTGATTACAAGCCTATCAACATTCCTTGCTGATCGGAGCATCAAGGTCGTAGTAGACTACGACCTCAAGGTCGTAGTAGACTACGACCTTGATGCTCCGATCAGCAAGGAAACTGGTGATCCATTTGCACAATTTCTCGGGAAGCCCATAGGAAGGAAGTTTCGAAAGAAGCGCCTTGTGCCAGACCCGATCGAAGGCCTTCGCTATGTCCAAACTAACGGCCAATGCCTCCCCCTTGGACTCTACTGCCCCCGCCCATCTATGAGTTAAGTAAACTAGAAGATAACCTGCTGATCGACCCCGACGAAAACCGTACTGACGGTCACTGATCAGCTGGTGATCCTCAAGGTACCTCATGAGCTGGCAGTTTATAATGGATTCCATTATTTTGGAGAACAAGGAGGTGATGGCGATAGGCCTGTAGTTGGACGGGTCTGAGCGGTCGCCTTTTTTAGGGATCGGGTGGACCAAAGCTGTCTTCCATGAATTCGGGACTACGCCTTGGGAGTAGGAGTACCGGAAAAGACGCGTTAAAACCGGTGCCAACTCCGGAGCACACGTCTTCAGCACAATGGGAGGGACTCCATCGGGCCCACTCGACTTGCTGACGTCCAGGGAGA